GAGAGAGAGAGAGAGAGACCCAGGCTAAGGCTAGTTCAAGTCCTTCCTCCTGCTGCCTGGCTCCTTCCTATGGCCAGCCCCACCATGATCCCAGCCCAGCATGCATAGCGACGCTGCCTCCTCCTCCTCCTCCTCCTCCTCCTCTTCCTCAGCTCCAGGCTCAGACTGGGAAAGCCAGAGAGAGCAGCCGCAATAGAGCCTCGCTGCGAAGTGCTTTGATTCTTGGTTTCTCCCCTCCTCTCCCCTCCAGTCTCTTCTCCTTGCAGCTCCTTTGCTGTTCTCTCTCTCTCAGGGCGACCTGGTCTCCTCAAGGGCCAAGGAGGAGGGCCGGGCACCAGGAAATGGAGGACGTTCCATGAACGAGGGAGGACGGGACCAAAGAAAAGAGAGACAAGGGCCCAATACAATACCCGCTGCAGAAAGCATCCAGTCTGAGACTGCTTGAACTGCCCTCCGTGGCTCCATGGTAGGGTATCCTGGGAACTGTAGTTTTTGTGTATGTGGGCGTCTGTGTGTGTGTGTGTGTGAGAGAGAGAGACAGACACATTGAGCCTTCTCTGTCAGAGAGAGCTCTGGAGCCACAAGGATGGACACAAGGAAGTTCTCAGGATTCCCTAGCACTAAAGCAACGTATTGTGTCTCTGACACAGAAGGCTCAGTGTCTCATAAAACTACAGCTCCCATGATTCCCTAGCACTAAAGCAGTCTTAGTGTATTGTGTCTCTGACAGAGTAGGCTCAATGTCTCACAAAGCTACAGTTCCCAGGATTCCCTACCACTAAAGCTGTGTATTGAGTCTTTGACACAGAAGGCTCAGTGTTTCATAAAACTACAGTTCCCATGATTCCCTAGCACTAAAGCAGTCTCAGTGTATTGTGTCTCTGACAGAGTAGGCTCAATGTCTCACAAAGCTACAGTTCCCAGGATTCCCTAGCACTAAAGCTGTGTATTGTGCCTTTGACACAGAAGGCTCAATGTCTCACAGAACTACTGTTCCCAGGATTCCCTAGCACTAAAGCAGTCTCGGTGTATTGTGTCTCTGACAGAGAAGGCTCAATGTCTGATAAAACTACAGTTCTCATGATTCCCTAGCACTTAAGCAGTCTCAGTATATTATGTCTCCAGAGCTCTCTGACAGAGAAGGCTCAATGTCTCATAAAACTGCAATTTCCAGGATTCCCTAGCACTAAAACAGAGCCCTTAAAGCAGTGGGTCAAACTGGATTATTTCTGTAGTGGATTTTGGATTCTAGAAATATAAATGTATGCTTATAAAGCTGCATCCACACTGCAGAAATAATCCGGTTTGACCCCCCACACTCACACATACATTGAACTGCCCTGACTCTATGTTCCAAAAGGTCCTCCATTTGGAGCAGGACTGAGAAGCATGAATTTATATTTCTGTGAGTGTTTCTAGCTTTTATTTTGGAATGTCCTATTTTTTTTAATATTCTCCATTTTGCAGTGCCTTGTTCTCCTTGGCAGTTAGGCCATCTGGTCACCCTGCTGGAATGGAGGACACGTCCTGGAAAAGGAGGTGGTCTGGTCACCCTGAGCTAAAATCTCTTTTAAGATCAATGTAAATTCACAATTGGAAATGCTTCTTAGCCGTCGTCCAAATGGAGGATATTGTGGAATTCCTCCTGGACAGAAAGCTGGAAAGGAGGACATCTGGTCACCCTGCGCTTTCTGGACTATTCCACTTCCTTTTCCACTTTGAACTGCTCTCAGCGGGCAAGACAAAATAAGAGTGTCTTTCTTTTCTCCTCAGGTTCAAGATGAGTTGCAGCCACACTCCTTAGAAGTGACCTGTCTGTTTCTTGGTTGTTGTGTATTTTCATGGCATTTCTTTCATGGCAAGTTTCTTCAGAGTATTCTTTCATGGCAAGTTTCTTCAGAGGGGGTTTGCACTGGCCATCTTCTGAGGCTGAGAATGTGTGACTTGCCCAAGGTCACCCAATAGATTTCCATGGCTGAGTTGGGATTCAAACCCTGGTTGCAAAGGTCACACAGAGGAAAAGTGCAGAAATCCTGTGCAGAAACAGGCTTTAAAAACTAGAAAACCCCCACAAAAGTGGGTTGGTTTTCACACACATCGGGGTTAATGTGAAATTAACCCAAATGGAAAGGAGACAAAACCCGCTTCTTCTTTCCATTTAGGTTAATGTCACATTAATGCTCATTAGCCCTGTGTGAAAAATTAACCCGCTTTTGTGGGTTTCGTTGACTTTCTGTTCAGGTTAACAACACATTAACAATGATGTAGTGTGAAAACTAACCTGCTTTTGCGGATTTTTTTGTATTTAAAATCCCGTTTTGCATGGGATCACTCCCCTGTGATAAACTCAATAGTCCAGTGCTACATCACACTGGCTTTCTTTCTCTATTCTTTGCCCAAGATTAAAAAAAAACAAAAACACAACTTTATTAGGTTTCTATGGGCCTTTGCAGACTGCCAGAAACAGTGCAAATTAAGTCCACTTTAACTGCCCTGACTCAGTGCTAGAGAATCATGGGAACTGTAGTTTATTGTGGCACCAGAGCTCTCTGACAGAGAAGGCTCAATGTCTCAGAAAAAAAAAATACAATTCCCATGATTCCCTAGCACCGAGCCAGAGCAGTTAAAGTGGCCTCAATTTGCACTATTTCTAGCAGTCTGCAAAGGCCCTAAGTTATAAAGATGCCACCTTGCCACCGTTTAAAGCCAACATGTTCAGTTGAAGGTTCTTGAGTTGCTTCTTCCCATGCCAGGGATGACAGAAATTGGCATGGTTGGCAGAAGTTCAACAGGTGCTGCTTTTCTCTAGCACAACCTCGTGATCACGGGTGACCTTTGACAGGATAGTTTTTCTGTGTTGTGGAATTATGAAAGTGGCAGGAGTCCTGCCCCTGCCAAGGTTGGAAGAAGTGGGAGCCTTAATGTAATCTAGTTCTGGAACAAACATTTGAGAGCTGCTGTGCTCACCTGCGTCATTGCCTTTTTCTGTCTTTACCCCGTCCCCCTTTTTTATTTTTCTAAATAGCAGAATCTTGATCCAGGCAGCAGTTAGATGGTGAGGTTTTTCTTACAGGTTTTTGAAAAGAGCTCTCTGCTTCTGGAAAATTTAGATATTAGACACCCAGTGTGGTGTAGTGGTTTGAGACTCTGGAGACCAGGGTTTGAATACCGTCTCAACCATAAAAACCCACTGGATGACATTGGGTAAGTCACACTCTCTCGGCCTCAGGATGGCAATGGCAAACCCCTTCTGAAGAAACTTTCCAAGAAAAACCTGTGATCTGGTCACCTTGGGGTTGCCATAAGTTGGAAACAAAGGCACACAACAACAGACACCCAGAACAACTATGTGTTAAAGGCGTAGTTGTCCTCTGAACCAGAAACAGCCTAGGAAACTGACATGCTTTGAGGTAGCCGTACTTTATATGAGTTTCATGATTCAGTCTGACCTCTCCAATTCTATTAAAAGGATTCATATTTTCCAGAGGTGGCCCTAAAGGAGTTTATCTTCCTCACGGCTCAGAGTCACCTAGGTGTGTCTCAGAGCAGGCCGTTGGCATGGACAAACGTGTGCTCATGTTGTTGTGTGCCTTCAAGTCATTTCCAATTTATGGCAACCCTAAGGCGAACCTATCACAGGGCTTTGGGGGGCTGAGACTATGTCTCTCTCTACTGACACTTAGTGGGTTTCCATGGCAAAGCAGGGAATCGAACCTTGGTCTCCAGAGTTGTAGTCCAATGCTCTCAAACCACTACACCATGCTGGGGCTCCTGTGCCCATTTACCTAGTAGGAATTGCCATTCAGTTTACTAAGGCTAACTTCTGAGTAGGCCTGTACAAGGCATACACTGCCAGAGCTACAAAGTCACAACTGCTGGATGAGATCTGAAATGTTGCCCTGATTTACTCATCCTCTCTGCAGTTAGCACTCAGAAAAGATGTTGAATAACAACTGCCTTTTCACTTAGCCAGCTAAAGAGGAAATCTTGTCACTGATCATGTCTTTACTCCCACTAAGGAATGTGGAAGCTGCAAGGGAATTTCATTGGGAGGAAGAACAGGGTGGGGGTGTTCTCCCTTACCAAATGTGTTTTGCCCCCTTCACACAAGTCCCAGTAAATCACTTTATTGTGATGTCACAATCAGTTCCTATTGTGATGTCACAAAGACAGGATTAGCAGGATGGGAAGTGGTGGAGAATACATAACAGCAGCATGAATACTACCTCATTTGCAGAATTTTACAGGAGGCCAAGACAACAGTGCCTTTAACTTATGGCTCTCCAATGCTTTCCTAGCATTTTTACCCAAAAGAAATCTGCCAGTAGGAGCAGGGAAAGAAGAAAAGCTCCACACTGGCCTTTTG